CTTCACAAACTGCTCCAGCATGGGTACCCCGCCGGGAAGGTTCTACAGCTTCTCACAGAAGCCACCCTTGTAGCCTCCCTGCTACCAGTAGCTTACCATATAGAAGTTCTTGGTTGTTTTGATGCATGTATTTCTGAAATGCAATAAGGCAGCATTTTATTTCTATGAAAACCTCGACCTTTGCTTTCTTGCCACTTTTCTTACCTCAGATGGTAAGAGTTTTGATGGTGCTTATCTATAGAGGCACAATATTGAAATCTTGAAAACTGGCTTCACTGTGGCATCATTAATGCTTTTCAGTGCTGCTCAAGGTTCCTGTCAAGAGGGGAATGTTCTCGCCCTTCACAGGAACAGTCCTTTTAGTTTACTGGGGAATTCCCTTAGTTAAAAGGCAAATCACAGAATCACAGAATGAGTAAGGTTGGAAGGAACCACAGTGGGAAGTCAATTGCCTTCTGTTTACTATTTGTTTAATGAAATATATGGAAAATACTTACGTGTATTGTCTTTTACTGCAAAAATTCTCTTGATCTAGTTACTACTGTAACAGTGACACATTTTATAAATAAAAGGGATATGATTCATAGAGCCACAGAGAATCATTTAGGCTGGAAAAGACCCTTAAGATACTTGAGTCCAACTATAACTCCTTATAGATTTTTTTTCCTCTAAGAATCATTACATCATTTTGATAGCTGCTTTAGAAAAAAGCTCTTATTTTACCCATTTAATGATTTTTGAGCTAATCTTATCGCAAGCTAATATGCAACTAAATTACTTGCAAACCTAACTTTATAAATTTAAGCACTTTGTGTATGATGATAAACTGGGCAATGGATTCTGTTTAGGAATAAATAAGGATGTGATTCTGTCAAGGTCAGACCATAATAAAATAATACACTTTCTATATGTAATAGCAAACTCTCTCTCAAAAAAAAAATCCACTTTTTCACCTGTACATGCTCTATTTATGCACATATAGAGGCTCCCTGGAACTGAGCTGTGTCCTGAAGTGTCTTCACTGGCTTATCTCAAGTTAATCTATCCATTTGATGAAATTCATAATCTTTAACTGCAGTTGGAGAAAAACACAACATTGTCAATGAGTTCTATTTCCTGGGAAATTCCTAACTACCTTCATTATGAGATCTGTGTCATGAACTGGATTTGTGCGGTGCTGGTGAGTGGTATATGCAGCGATAGTCTGACCTAAAAGTGTCAGAGGTGTGCATTGCATTTGGTAATGCCGTGTCCAAAATAAAGGCATGAAATCTTCAGAGCAAATGGTTTGGGTTTTTGTCATAAATGTTGGTCACAATGGCTTTGATTGTTAAGAGCTACTAGGTAATCGCCTCTAGCAACAGAACACTTTCCCAACAGCAAGAGAGCATATCGTAAGTTCAAAAATTAGTATATTAATCATTTTCCTTCAGTAAATGAAAAAATGAAGGGAGGTGAGTAGTGAGTTATACTTTCCTGGATATGTCTTAAAGTACATATTTATAAAACTAAAGTGTACATTATGTTAATATGGAGGCACCTAGTTCAGGTCCAAATTCAGAAGAAATTTTCACCCTGGAGATCCCATTGCTTAAATCCAGTTGTATGACATGCATTTGAGCATTTCTTCCAGCTGTAATGACTTTTTTCAACTGTCATATCCAGAGATTGTGGTGGGGTAGGGTCTGTAGTAATGAATTGAGTCACGGTTTTCCTAGAGTGGCAAGAGTATAATAATTGTATTAGATTGCTGATAGATTATCTAGTAAGAAATACTGCTTGATAATGCCCTGGTGGTACAAAATGAGCTGAAGTTTCCTGATATTTTTCTCTATATTTTGAAAGATCGTATTTCTGGTAGTCTTGTTTACTGATAGACGTTTAATCACCATAGCAAAATGGTATTTTGGTCATCTGAGCCAAGAACAAGTACAAAAACAACTACCATGTCTTTTTAGAACTGAAGTTTACTGTAAAATAATTAGCTAATGATAGAAACACAGCCTTGGGTCCTCTTTTAGGCATCTTTGTATTGTTTCTAAATGCAAATCTTTCATATTATGTAATGTACAATAACTGTAGTTATTTTGGAATTAGAGCAAATGGACCAAGTAGTTAAGCATATAAATGTATTTTGCCTTTTCTCAGTTAAGGAATGTTGGAAACATTAAAATTAAGTAACAATAAATTTTTTTTAAGCATCCCAAGACACAGTAGTTAGGTATAAATGATGGAGTAATGGTTCTTATGAATAAAACTTCGCATTGCACCTCTAACTATGGGGTACTAGGATCTAAATGCAATTAAATATATGCTAAACTGTATGTAATTAAAATATTGGATAGCTTTGATGACCATTTGTGAAGTGAGAAAAATTAAGTTGAAACAGTTTTATATTTCAAACCAGTAGGATTTTTATCTTCTGCCTTAGAAGCGATTTCCTTAATGCATTTAGTTAATGCAGTCATTAACAAAAGGACTTTTTAACAAATTCAAGACGAAAGGCCGTTGCCTTTCTTCTGCCTGAGGCTTAAGTCTTAGGCTGTTCTTTACAAGTTCTCCTTGTCTCCCGTTTTTCGGTGCTTCTCAGAGGAGAATCCGCCTCTGCCCAGATGGCTGTGCAAGCTGCTGCCCCACGGCGCTGCGGGAGCTTCCCTCCCTGATTTACTGTTGGGGCGCCTTGAGCACCTGTGAGTTTCTCAGCTGTGTTTACTTCTATTGAAGTCAAGGAAAGAAAAATGTCTAACAAGTTTTGATGTTAGGCTGTTAATCCCGGTGTCATACATTTTAATCCTTTTTTGTCAATATGTTTGTTTAAGTGCTAAGCTATCCAAAAAGACCCAAACCAACAGGCTAATTTTTACACTGAGATCAGTTACCTTCCATATAGAGAGTTACAAAGATTTCCAGTGATGCAGATTTTGTAAGATTAGATTCTCATGGTTATATTAAGGTTTTCTTGTATCTAGTCTCTCTTAGTTGATTTATTATGCTTTCGTATCCGTTATAAGCCTGGAGTGCTATACATTTATTAATATTGAAAGATCCTTTGTCCTGCAGACTTTCCCCTTTCACCTTTCTCTTTTTCCCTTTCCTCTTTCTCCTTACTTTATCCTCTTTTCCATTCTAAACCTTGTTTTCTATCTTTATTTACTGAATATATTCCCCAAGCAACTTATTGTTCATATTTTCTTCTTTGGCCTCTTTATCTAGGTATGGTTAGAAAATGGAATAGATATTCTTATTGAGAACTCTGATGTTTAGCAGATAACACATAACTCACACATCTCATCAATGAAGCTTTTCTTACTGTTTTAGAATGGCATTTGCCATTTTCTCATATCCATATTATTGATTTATTAGCTTTTCAGCTTACATTTGGCTTAGCTTGCGTGGAGGGAGGAAGGCTAACTTGAGATCACTGGTATTGGTTAACAACTTCTTTAGTCCTTTAATTTCTGCCTAACGCTGATAATGGTGCTGCAAGTCTGTGTCTGGAAGATCTACTTTCATTTATCAGCAGGAGGTGGTAGAAATCCAAACCTCATGCAAGCACCACTGTCATCAGTGTTCCTGTTCTTGGATTTTGTTAGTGCTACACTAGTGTGTGTGTGTGCATGTGTGCATATAGACTTTGTGATTAGAGGGTGACAGTCTCTCTTTTGTTGTGACAGCTGGTGTGCAGAGTTGGAGGTGACCGGTGGTGCAGCAGTGCTTAGGTTACAGGCACTGCCATCAGGCTCCAGAAGAGCCTGTGAACCACTCAGCTTTTTTTACCTTTTTTGACATCTCCCCATCTCATTCAGCATAGTCATTAGAAGATGTGTTCTCAGGTCTTTTGCAGCAAATGACTAAGGTATAAAAAATATCCTTAATGTGAGGATTTGGATAGAAAAGAGGTAATCCTTAAAGACATAATAAGACATGACAATAGGCAAAAATGGCATGTCAGAAATTTATTAGGGCATAATGTCTGTTGGATACAGGATGCTTGATTTGAATGAGCATTTGTTGTATGTTTCTTGTGCATAGTTGAGTCTTAACTGTGAATAATTATCTATATACTGCATGTGGCCTTGTTCAAGGGTACATGCAAGGTACATGAAGGGGTCCTGAGAGCTGCTGTTGCGATGTGATGCAGCAAAAGTAGCTGAGTATTTTGATCTGTGTTTTCCTGATTCATCCTTTTTGAATTTAAAAGATACAAATGAGAACAATTCAAGCAGAGTTTTCTTTCATAAGAATGAGGGTGCTGTCATCAATTTAGACTTCTCCTCCAATGTGTTGCAGGGCCTGCCCACTGGAAGGAGGTTTTTCCTGTCGCTAATGGAGACCGTCAGTCACCCATTGACATCAAAACTGAGGAAACCAAGTATGATCCCTCCCTCCGTCCTCTAAATCCCAATTATGATCCAGCTTCTGCTAAAATCATCCTTAACAACGGGCACTCCACCAGTGTGGAGTTCGATGACACCATCAACAGATCAGGTTTGTTCCTTTCCTGTTGCACTGTGTCTTCTGTATAGAGTGCATAGAGCCTGGGCACATCTCACTATTGGGTATGAATTCCTCATGAACAATAAGGCTTTGCTTCTCCAGATGAGAGATTCCTTTTTTCCCTGTCTTTCAGCATGATACAATGTGGGAATGTGTTTGTACATGAGTTCAAGATTGTGTTTCTCAGGAAGTGCTGGGATTCCCTATTCACAGCGGTGGTTTGATCCACCCCAACCACCTGGGTAGTGCCAGCCATCATGTCTGAACAGTGTTGTGTACAATTTTTCAAATGCTGCTCTCTCTCTCACTGCAGATGAATCCTTTGTGTCTCATTACAGGTTCATTCCAACTGAATCGCTCAAATCTCTTATCTGAATTTAGCTGCAGGTTTGGTTATTTGTTTTTCCCCTTTTTACAACCCATACTTGGACTTCTTGTGTCAGGAAAGAGCCAATACAGAACAAGTGAAATATATCCCAAGTGATCCCTTTTCTTCTCTGAAAAGTGTTATTGTCCCAGTCTTTTCCAGGAGTATGTAGCTTCCCTTTTTGCAAGCAATAATTCTCTGGTTTAGCATAGTCTTTGTAAGGTTAGTGCCTTCATCTTTAAAACCTTCTCTTAGATGTTAGGCAAGCCAGCGTAACCCCTCTTGAAACTGTAGGAGCACAGAATCTTCAAGCAGTAATATCATCTTGTGGATGCCTGAGGCTTAGCTGAGGATCCAAGCCCATATAATGCTTTCCCAAGGGTCAAAGCCAGAGGGAAACTAATTTTTGATCACCCTGTCCATTAGTCCTGAGGACTTGTTAGCTTATAGTGTCAACAGGAAAAAAAATAGATGGAGACACCATCGTGCTTTGGTTTCCTGGACAGTCTTAGTTTTAAATTTCCTGTCAATACAAGCAACATTGGATGTTGCCTGAGAGCCACCAGCTGATCATCAGTGATCGGTCTGACCTCGTATGTGTCAGATGCCACGGAACTTCCCAGAATTAATCTCTGCTTCAAGCCTAGTAGGCCCTGGTGAAGTAAAGCACATCTCTTAGAAAAACACACTATCTTGATTTCAAATTTTCCAGCGATGATGAACCTACCACAGCCTTTGGTAAGTTGTTCTAATTGTTAATTACCCTCACAGCACATCAGCTGATGTGAGTTATATCAACTTAGCCTTTAAGCTCTTTTTTTTGAAAAAAAAAGGCAATGAATGTGAATACACCAAGAACCTCTTCCACTTTCTTAATTCCATCCATGAAGTGACAGAGCCTGAACATAGCATTTTTGTAGGCTTACCATGGTACCAAAACAATGGTAATGTGATCCTCCTTTATTCAGGCCATATCTCCAAGAATACAGTTCATGTCATGGCAAAGCACTGGCAAATGTAGATCAGATAATTAACAGATGTAATCCCCAGTCTCCTTCAGCATAGTCCATATCTTCTGTGTATGGACTAGATTCTTCAATCCACATCCATAAACTGAGTAATTCACTATTTTCCCTAATATTTGTCTCTGACAAACTTTATCAGTAATGTTTTTGTTTTCTTTCAGGTCATTGCTCAAAAAATACTGAATTTTCTAGGGCCCAAATTTGGCTTCTGGGGCTCCCCTGTGAAGTAAGGACTCCTGCTATGTGTTGGTTTCATGAAAAAAAAATCAAATTAATTGGTACTAAATACGTTAGCATCTTTTAATGCATTATTAACTGACTTCCATATGAACTATTTCTTCACTTTGGTCAGCATTGAAACTGGGCTGTCAGGTCTGTAACTGTTTGTTTAAGTCTGTTTATGCTCTTTGGTACCACATTAGCTCCATTCTTTGAAATTAGTCTATTGATTTTCTTCTAACATTTTTCAAAATTTGAGATACTGATATTTGCCCAAAAAGCTTCTGACCAACCTCCTCCTTAATTACAATTGGAATGAAAGAGATTTACCATCACTGTACGATGTGGCACAAATACATCATCAGGCCGTTTTTCACATTTTTCAGCAGAAGTATTTCACGCCAATGCATTTCTACATAATAGTTTTCCCTCAGCCAGTTACAACACCAATCTTTACACATTTCTAGGATCATTTACCTCAAAGTTTTCATTCCTTGAAAGAAGGAATTTGTGTTAGGAGTACCATTTCCCCATCCCCTCTGTCTGTAGGCTGTGTAAAAGCATGGTTTTGAGTTGAAGCTTTAAAGAACTCAAATATTTTTTCCCCCCATATAAACAGTCGCAGTTCCTTTTCATTAACCAGGCTACTTGTGTTAGCAAATAGGCAACTTAAAATTCTTTCATCTTTATTTGGTGTATTTTGTTCCTAAGAAAGTTTAGGTTTGGGACTAAACCTAGAAGAGAGAAAAAATTGCCATTGTCCTCCCTACTGCTCTTAATTTAAAAACCATCTGGGTAAAGCTCCCCTCATTTTCCCTTAAAATTTCTATAATGACCCAGTAAACTATTCCCAAACCTTCAGTGGAGATATGGAGCCCAGAGAATGGAATGAATTGTTTTGCAGGGAATAAGGAATCTTTCTGAATGTGATTCACATTCAAGTCTCTGTGCAGAGCTGGTTTGGTTCTAACTCTGATGCGCAAATGATGAGCACTTGCAAAAGCAAAACAAGGAAAAGCCTACCCATATCCATGTTAGGTTGAATAGAATTAGATCAGAACAGAATAGAATTAGAAGAGAATAGCGTTAGAATAGAATAAAATAGAGCAGATTCTTTCAGTTGGAAGGGACCTACAATGATCCAGCTGCCTGAGCAATTCAGGGCTGACCAAAAGTTGAAGCATGTTGTTAAGGGCATTGTCCAAACACTTCTTAAACACTGACAGGCTTGGGGCATCGACCACCTCTCTAGGAAACCTGTTCCAGTGTTTGACCACCCTCAGTTAAAGAAATGCTTCCCAGTGTCCAGTTTAAACCTGCCTTGGCACAGCTTTGAGCCTTTCCCATGAGTCCTGTCACTGGATACTTGGGAGAAGAGACCAGCAGCTTCCTCTCTGCTTCCCCTCCTCAGGAAACTGTAGAGAGCAGTGAGGACACTTCCCAGCCTCCTTTTCTCCAAACTAGACAAGCCCAAAGTACTTAGCCAGTCCTCATAGTACATGCTTTCCAGCCCTGACTAATTGTCAGTAATATTGCCGTTGTACAATGCATATGCAGCGTTGGCTTATTTTTATTTATGTTAATATAAACTCCTTTTTCTCCGACTCCAATCTGATGTAACTAGATTTAGCTGCAAATGAAGGAAAGAGCCTTGAAATTTTTTTAAGCTCCGCCTATTTTCCTCCAAATTTCAAAGAGAAGAAATTGTGCTGACATTACATTTTTCTGATCACCCATTTTATTCATAAAATCTATATTTTAAGCCAAATTTCTTAGTGATTCTTTCAAATTTATTCAAGAGAGGAAACTCTCTTGAATGTTGCAAATAGAAGTATTTTCCCATTTTCTGAGAAATATCCAACCCATAGCAAGACAAACCTGGAGATAACAACATACCCTTTAGTTGCCCATAACCCACTAATCTACACATAAATGCAATTTTGATAGTCATATCCTGGACGAGTGAGTGTTTCTGTAGTACTTCCAAGAAGTGGGAAGCCATCTGAGTGAGCTTTTGAGAAGGAGCAAAGAACTGTCCAAAGACTGAAGTTTGGTGTGAGGTTAGAGGATGTTGGTAGAGGCTCCTGTTCCTGCAGTGAAGCCTTTTCCTCTGCTTGGGTTTCCAGTGCTGACTGGGGGGCCACTCAGCGGGACCTACAGGCTGCGCCAGATTCACTTCCATTGGGGGTCCAACGATGAAGCCGGCTCTGAGCACGCGGTGGATGGGATGAAGTATGCGGCAGAGGTAAGGCTTTGCATGGAGTCATCTGCACCTCTAAGCTTGTGACTAGTTTTCCATTGTAAAAATAATGTTGCCCCTCCTCTTCCCGCCTTTCATCTTCCCTGCATTTTATCAAAAGATGAGCAGTCTTCCTGAAGTGTTGCATGTTTGGTCCTTTCTCAAAGGAGAACCTATTTGAAAGCTTTGGAGAGGATTAAAAAAGGAGTACAGAAGACAAGAGCTTGATAAGAGCAAGATTTAATGTTCAAGAGCTATTTTAAACTTTGTCTTTCACTGTCTCTTCCTTGGAGAACATTTTCAAAGTCAACTTCAATGACAAACAACAGAATTATTTGATTTGGGGCCTGTGCAGTGTAAAGACAGAGTATTGCATTTTGTAGTGCACTTAGCAATGTGGTGGTTATGACTTTAAGAACTGCACTTGAGTATCTGTGGGATGCCTGTTATCTGTGGGGTAATGTGTTTCAGTGGAGGGAGACATGCACCATCTGCTCTGGCATGGAGCTTTCACTCCTGCTCTGTCTCCTTTGGTGCATTTGAGTAATCTGCAAGAAAAAGTATTCAGTATGAGATTCTTCTTTGCAAATGGAAGTAACATGGAGTATTTTGATGAGACTGAGGTCTTTAACAACAGGTAATTCAGAGAGTGGAAGAGTTTTCTGGGGTTAAAAAGAAGTAAAACGTGTAAAAATAAATGGTAATGGACAAATAAAAGGCATAATACTACAGAAGAAAAAAATGCAATGTATGCACAGTAGTGTGATCAGATTTTGCTGGAAGTGATGTAAGAGATAGCAGTCAGGAAAAAAAGATCAGTTTTCTAACACTAATGGGGAAAAGTGATATTTGCAGTGTTTAAAGGCTTATGTTTTCCACAGGAACCAGGTGAGATGGAATATAAAGAATTAATAGAGGTGCTTTAAAACCATTAAGTACCAACCCCAAATTTCTAGCTGAGAAAATTATATGTTTCCCATCTAAGAAACCAAACAGAAGGAGAAAATATCTCTGAATTTCTAGCCAGTCTAAAAACCTTTCTGTTACCTGTTGGTTGGGTAACCCTCCACAAGAAGCTCTCCAGATGTCACTTTGGCTTTGGGATAAGAAACGCAGAATTAAAATCAAGGCTTCTGAGCATTGTTCACACAAAAGAAAATACCTCAGAAGGAGACATGAAAATGGTTTCAGTGCTCACCTTTTAAGGAAGATGTGCAAGATTTCAAGAAAAAGCATCAACTGAGTTGAAGAAAGAACTAGTGTACAGGTAAAGAAGGCTTCAATGTTTGACCTCTAATCCCACCGGGAAGCAGAAGTGATCCATGGCTCCATTCTTTGTGACAACATATGGTCTGATCAAGATCTCTTCACAAGCTGCAGTGACAGAGCGGTGGTAAGACGGGATATATTCCTTACAGAGAAGTCACAAGCCATTGAGAAGGGGTCTGTACCCAAAAGTGTTTCACAGCTCTGTTTCTTTGGGGATTTTATTTTTTTGGGATGGTTGGCTTGGGTTTTTTTGGGGCAAAGCTATGAGGGAGTGGAGTGGGCTGTTAGTAGTTGTGGGAATTTTCCTTTTTGTTCTTTGTTAGCTTTTTTTCCCTTTTTTTTTTCAAATCCACAATAAAAGTCAATTCTGACTGAGAGTATCTGTTTCCTTTTTGTGTATGTAAAAAGGTAATTGTTTAAAAGTTGTTCAATGTAGCTTCTCTGAACTTATAATAGTGAGTGGTGCAGACACTATGAGCTCCAGGACACTAGTGCACTTGTGAAGGGTTTAGTGGACTATGTTCTCTTCCTGGTTTAATTTATAATATTTTTAGCAACTTTCCTTCAAGGATTTCTGAAGCTCTGACTCAGCATGTGTGTCATCGTGGCCATACATATATTATTGTTGACTACAGTGGTATTCCTTACTTGCTGGAAGTAATGTTTCAGCACTTTAGAGCCCAAGTGCTTAACAAACATTAACATAAAGTAAGACCAAGTAAGAGATATGAAAAATTGAAACTCAGAGAGGTTAGGCAAGGATTGAGATTTAAAGTAAAAATCTTCATTCTCCTAGATCCCTGTTTCAACCATGCAGCTATGTTATTTCCCATAGGAAACCTTTAAAGCAAGTTCCAGCTTTCCTAAATTGCTTTTGCTTTAGATGTCTTGTAAGTGCTATATTCCAAAAGGAAGCCTTTTTTTTCAGGGATACATCCTAGTTTAAGTCATTCAATGAAGCTGCTTTTCAGCACTCCTAAGGAGTAAAGTTCAGTGTCTGAAAAGATGGCCACCAATTTTAGAAAAGCCAATCTCATGCCCTGCTTCTGAGCGTCTCTGTCTAAAAACTGTGGGTAATAAGATTTACTAATCCATTGAGGATTTGCGAAAGTAATTAATGTTTGTGAAGTACTTAGATGTAAGTACTGTGTGAGTGTTTATGCTCTGTCCAGAGACTGGGACATCCTGGAGCTTCCTGAGAACCAGGAGCTGCCACCATGAATTGTGGTCAGGAATTAGGAAACCTGGTCTAGCAGGAGGGACTTAGGTGACATGGGAGTAGAGATCATGGGCTTTTCCTTTTTCCGCCTGGCTCGGTGGTGTCTTTACGCTGCTTAAGCAAGTACAAGAGGACAGTTCCAGAATAATACATGTTGGAAATGCTCAAACCTGAGATAATCAAGCTGCTTGTAAGGACCTAACTACTGGTGGTCATAGAAAATAACATTTGGAAAGTATCAAAAATGAAATGTTGCTTTTTAGCTTGAACTAAACAAGCGACAAGGAGTCAGTGCAAGTTTAATGTGTGTTCTTCTGCCTGTTTTCTAGCTATTTATGTGGCCGATTAATGTTGCTGAAAGCTTGATTAAAGAAAAAGATGAGTAAAATACTAATGACATCTTCATGAATTTCAATCACTCTTTAAAATCAGCTGTACTAAATATGGATTTAAAACCTTTAGTTATATAACCTTTGGCTTTCTTGTCTTAACTTCCCAATTCAAAATCTGGGGGCCCAACAGCAGTTTGCCAGGCACTGTGGTGTGCTGATTCCTGCTAAACTTTGAATAATCCCAGCCACTGGAAATGCTTTTGCCATTTGTGTGAACTATATGTTTACTGATTTCATGAAATATCTGCACTGAATGGCTCTACATACAAAAGAGTGAAGTAGAGTATCTAACCCAGAAAGTTGTAGTATTCACTTGCCACTGCTTCAGTTCAGCGAGAGTTGATGCTGTCTGCGTCTCTTGCTTTTCAGCTTCATGTGGTCCATTGGAATGCAGAGAAGTATTCCAGCTTTGTTGAGGCAGCTCGTCAGTCAGATGGATTAGCAGTCATGGCTGTATTTCTGAAGGTAAGAAAAGAATGCTCCAGGTCTCCTAATAAATCTGCATTATAAGCCCAAAGAGATAATCGTGATGGTTGGTGTAATTATTGCTAAAAAGATACTTGTTTTGTACTTGTTTCCTTCATAGTGTTTAGCTGGCCATATGGAAAGCTATGCTTCCTTGAAGAACAAAAATATCAGATTAAGAGATTTTTTGAGACAGTGAGACTCTCTGTTTGCCTAGTTTGCACTCCAGTACAGCATAAGATGTGAAACTTAATTCAGCTGCCCCTATATGGATCCAAATAACCTGTACTTGACTAATAGGTTTCTTTATGGGGACAATCTGATTTGATTCAAATGTTTCTTTAACAGCTTGTTTCTGAGCTGGTAGTTTCTTCTAGAAAATAATAATAATAGAAAAAACAAAACCAGAAACTGGAGAATTTCCTTATAATTCTTATATACCTTTTTGCCATTTGTACCTGTTCTAAGATGAATTAAACTTGTGCAACAGCTTGATTGAGTTCTGCATGAAGAAACAGATGGAGAATTCACACAATCCATGGCAAAAGATAGGGCTTTGGTCAAATCTGTGGTTTCTGGTGGATGCCACAGCTTCCTGAGCACAGCTAGTGCTGGTGCTGGCACAGTCAGGAAGCTATTCCATGCAGCAGTTGCAAAGAACTGCTTCAGTGATTCAGTCTTTCAAGTTTGCATTATAATGGTTCAAGGGGAAGTGTTACTGGACCTCTGAGCAGACAAATTCTTCTTGGGATACATAAGAACACTGTTTTCAATGTTTTAAGTAATTTAGATTACAGATGTAAGCTTGCCACTTTTAATGTCTTGCATATTAAAACATGAACAATAATGGTTTCTGTTCTCCTGTAGTGAAAAGTTTGTGATTCATTTGTAGCTGAAATAATTACTATGAGTAGCCAGAATAGTTATTATCAGCAATGGAGCGGATCTTCTTTGTGACCAGTACTATTTCCAAGGACCAGGTAGTTACAGGCTTCTTCACAAAATCCGTCAGATCTTACAGTCATATAACAGGAGAATTATATAAAACAGTTTCATTATGCATTTCCTTTCTGATTATTTATGTTTGTTATTTTCCCTGGAGCTCCAGTGTTTCTCTTTTCTCTGGTTTTAATAGATTGGTGAATGCAACCCTCAGCTGAAGAAGATTACTGACCGCTTGGACACCATCAGAATCAAGGTAAATGAGTTTTTCTAAAAAAATACTAATATTGGTAGTTGCTTTTGTTGTTTTGGTGTTTTTTTTTATTTTTTGAAACCTGGCCGCTACTCCCTTCACTTTCATGTTCCCTGATTACTGGTATCATAGCTATCCACATCTGGTTTGAGATAGTTTAGGAGCATTTTTCTTGGGCTGAAAACTAAGTAGACAGTTTTTATACAGTAAAAGATCAGAGGAAAATACTAATTCCTCACAGAACCCAATCTCTGATGAATGTGTTGCTGTGAGAATAGTAGCAGGGGAAGAACATACTTTATGGAAAGCTGTGAAAAAGATGAGGGAAGTATTTCCCCTGTTTTGCTGAGGTACAGAGTGAGAAATAATTCTATTTTTTGTGTGAGATAAATCAGCCTGATTCTCAACATGATGTTTTGTACAGTCATCTCTGGCCTGGTAGCTGGAACATAGAGAAACAGTAGTAACACGTGGACCTGGGAGGAGCGAATGGTGAGAGGAGCCAGTGGCAGTAACCTGTGGGGTTACTCTGCCAGCCCCACAGAGACCACACTGAAAGTCTAACATCTTCTGTCCTCTCCATTCAACTTCCATCTCGTGGTCACTTGTAACTCAAGGGAGCCTATGCTAAAATGACACCTTTGATGGTGTCCTGCCGGCAGCAGGGACAGCAGCAGCAAAGCTGTCACAGAGGTAAGACCTCGTCAGAAAGTCTGACTGATGAGGACCTCCATCATCCAGGATGCTGCCAGCCCACCTGATAGTGGAACAAGCTCTACCTCCTTTGCCTTGATTTATCTTGGCCTCTTGCTTATAAATAACATTAAATAACATTTCCCTGTTTTTTTCTTTTTCTTTTTTTTTTCTTTGAAATAAAATTCTAAATATAATTAACCTAGAATACAAATGATCTTTTTTTTTAATTTCCAGGGTAAAAAAGCACTATTCACAAACTTTGATCCTAGCTGTCTGCTTCCCAAGTCCCTGGACTACTGGACTTACTTTGGCTCTCTTACTGTTCCACCTCTTCTTGAGAGTGTCATCTGGATTGTTCTGAGAGAACCCATAAGTGTTTGTTCTGAACAGGTACTGTTTGATTTGTCACCACTATCAAAATGTTGCTTTTGTAAGACTTGAAATTGCAAATAACATCCACAAATATGTCATTGCAGAACTTACTTACAAAAGACAAAATTTGTATATCAAATTTATCCTGACTTCCTGTTGCTTTTCTTTCTGTAACAGCTATTTATTATTTGTTTTTTAAAAGAATCTGCATACTCTAAAAATTAATAATCAAAAATAACCCATAAGGAACTTACAGGAAAAAAAAGAGTTCTGATGATGCTTAGGAATTCTGGAATTCCATTTGATTTGATTACTTGCATATCCTGCTCAAGCCTCTTCTCTGGCATTTTTATCTGGCAGATGAATAGTAAATTTATTCTTGCATTCCAGATATGTAAAACTTGATGAATTTACTAGAATTGTGAAAAGCAAATACAATCGTAATAAATTGGAGTTTTGTGTTAGGCTGTCTTAGGAAAACTGTGATACATCATAAAAGAGTCTGTTTACATTTCTTGTTAAATTAAGCTTAATGATGTATCTTAACGTTGCAACAGTGACACCCAGCGGGTGGATGCTCTTGAGTGTAAAGAGTTTTTCTGACCAGAGACCACATACTCAGCAGAAATGGTGACTTCAGTCTTTATACTAAATGTTAAGACAGCTTCCTGAATGGGATGCTTGTTAGTCAGGAGACCTCAGAGTCTGTTTCCAACTGATTTGAAGTAATTTATTTGCTCAATGTGCGCATTTTTCTCATCTGCATCTCTTCCAGTCAATCTGGCTTTGTAAGACTCACTGCAGTGCGTGAGGATCTAGGATTGAAAATTTGTGTTAAGGTATCAACTTTCTAAAGAAAAAACATTGTTCATGTTAAAAGCTTCTTATTTGGGCAAATATGTAATTAATACATTCTAAAATGTGAAATGCTGTATACAAACAGCCATGTGTAACAGGTTCAGAGGACATGGTGTGGGAAACTGTCAATTACAGGGATTCTTTACAAGTCATTTTTCATAGACTTCAGGTATATCTTATGTAGTAAAGTAGAAATATGCTATATTCTTATAAATATGAAGTTGCATGTAGCTAAAAGTGTGTATTTCCAGCAATGTCCACTGTTGTGATTGATCAGTCAGCACTATGACTGATACTGTTCTGCCATTTAATTTTATTCCTCAAGTTTGTATCTCTTTGGGGCTTTAGAGTTTGCTACTGACTTTTTGTTAAACTTTTCAGGTTGAAAGAAATTAAAAATAGCTTTTGAGTTTTTATAAATTTACAGGGAGCCTGAATTCCTAACGTTAGCTTTAGAATGGGATGAAGCAAGATAGCACCAACTTTTTTGCTCTTAATGCAAATAAGATGCAATGTACCATACAACTAAATGCTCTATTATAATTATAATGTCCTACCTTTGACAACCTAGAAGGGAAGTAAGGTGATATATAGAAATAGTGAATATTGGAAATAGTAGAAATAAAGCAAAATGCTAAACTAAATCAGGTTCAGATTTCCTGAGGTTGAGACGTGGAGTTCTGCTAGGAGTTTCTGCTGGGATCAGCATATGCTGAGGTATGAATAACTGCTTGTTCTGTGTCTTCACAAGGAAAGAATTTGGAATCTCTCCTGATTTGAGTAAGTGCCAATTACAGCAGCTTTCTATATCACCACACCTGCAATTCCAGGTTAATTGTGAATATACTCTTTGAGCAAGAAAACATACACAGAATGTGTTTACTATAAGAAACATAATGTAATTTTTGACAAAAAACATTCCAGAATCTCCAAGCTATGAAATCCAACTAAAAAATATAAACCCTCCTGATTTAGATGAGGTTATGGAAGAAAAGTGTGAATATAGGAAACAAGTAATCCTTATGCACAGTTTCATGCTGACATGTATTTTGGGAGATTTTCTCTGTAGTCATCCTTTTTCGTTTACAAGGAGAAAAATGGTGAAATTGCCATTCCCCACATGCCTTAGTAAAATACAGCTCTGTTCTCCCAAGTGGAAAAAAGGTGACAAGTATCTTTAATATTTGCACTGCATTTTCACTAGTATCAATATGAGGGTTTTCTGCTGACCTTTATGTCTCTATTGATCACAGCTGGCCAAATTCCGCAGCCTCCTGAGCACTGCTGAGGACGAGGTCGCCTGCTGCTTGCTGAGAAACTACCGGCCTCCCCAGCCTCTAAGAGGACGAGAAGTCAGAAGGAATTAAAGGAGTAAAGCCAGAGTAGTCTCCCTCTGAAACCAAAGGCTGAATTAATTTTAATAGTTAATATACTTTGTGATTTTTAATTTTTTTTTCTTGAGTTGTTGTAACAAATAGGTGTTGTTTTATTACTGGTTATCATGCAGTCATTTCACACAGACAAGTACGTCCTGAGCTGTTGCAGGTTCATCGACATTAACAGGTCTGACTGTGTTTGAGTGCGTTGGTTTGGGAGCACAGAGGTCACTGCTAATCATAAGGGTCAGATGTGGTAAAGGAGTTGCCCAGAATTTCCCACCAAATTATTGAACAGGATGCCTGGTATTATTGGCAGTGTAGGATGTTCGGGGTTTATTCTTCTGGTCTCTAACATAACATTTAGCTTCTATATGGGACTTCACAATATAATTCTCAAGGAAAAACTATTTCAATGATGTTGTCATTTCACTTTCCTGCAAAAAGCAGTAATGACTAACAGCATTTAAGTAAAACAGATGTTTATATGATCCTGTTATTCTGGCTGCTTCATAGCGGGAATCATGTACTGACTGATGTTTTTTTAAAAAGCAAATAGTAAGGATTTTGTATATTGCCTGATCATGTCAGGTGGATTAGGTATTCCTGAATTTCATAACGTGTGTGATGAAATTGTCCTGAAACCTGAAAACTGCAAGGTAGAAAGGCATAGAGGGAATTGTTTGGGTCTAAATGCAGTCTGTTGCATTTGGTGAACAATAAGGGACTAACTATAACACTATATCCATGTAGCATCAGACTTTTACCACTTAAAATCAGAAGGCAGGGGTGGCTGTTGCTCCAGACTCTTTCATGCTAGACACATTGGACACTGCAGTGTGATCCACATTGTGCATACCTCACACTATGCAGTGGAGCACAGCACTGCTCAGGTCTGTAATGTCTCAAGGTGCTGGCTGATGTTCTGCTGTCATAGTTGAACTTTGGTGGTTGCACTTACATGCCAAGACCAAAGAGAACATTCAGAGAAAGCCAAAGAAACTGGAATCAAGTCAATATCTAATAAAAAGCTCAGCCCTCAATAGCAATATGTTGAAATGTCCGTCTTTATGAATTGACTTGAGCCTGAGTTTCTCTCAGGAGCTTTTGTTATCTGAATATAATTGTTTGTTTTATGCCAAATTTATTTTTATTCTTTTTAATGAACTTGCCATAGCATGTAGCTTAGGATAGAATTAGATTTACTCTCAAACTGTGAGAACTACATAATTACCTACCTGGAAGAGGCAGCTAGAGGTTTTATGGGCAGCAACTACCATCAATCTCTGTAGTACTTCTGACCAACTCATCTTCCATGAATTAATTTTTTTATAGGTTTTATAGGCTCTGCCTTTTACCTCAGTGGGTCTTTTGATCTTAGATGGACAAATATGATGGAAATCACAATCAGGATTGAATTTATATGCTATTTTAATAAATTAGACATAGATATATAGATATTTTAGCTCAGTTTAAGACAGGTGGACTTTTTTGTTTTCTCCTCCCCCGAATATAGCTATTATATGCTGCAAGGCCTGCTGTCGCCTTTTGAATGTTTTCTGAAGGAGAGCACAAATAGGCCATTAGAGAAATAAAAGGCATTTAGCAGCAGCAGCAGGTACAAGTATTAAACAAAGGGAAAAACCCTTTGTTTTTTATTTTTTGGCTTAGAGAGAAGAATGCAGCTAAAAAGACCTCAGGATAGTTCATTCCTAAAGGGAATGTCAGGAAAGTGTGCATGGAGAAAGCGAGAGTGTGTTGTATGTTTTCACACCCCTTTTTAGACTTAGTGTTGGTTTTGATATGTTTCCCTATCAAGTGAGTAGCCTCAGAAGAGAAAGCAATAAGGCTACTGCTTCATATCATAAACAAAAGTTTTATATGTTTCTTGCATATTGAAAACAATGGAGTTGATCCATTGCTTTGATATTTATAAGGATTTTATCAAAATAAAAAGTTGATTTTATGAATGTGTCTTGTATTTTCTACTGAAGAGCTTAAACTTTTACAGAGAGGGCTTCACTTTTGTATCTAGCTCCTGCAGCTCTAATTTTAGAAAAAATTGTCACCCATCATTTGAAGACTGCCTTTGGGCAGTGTACTATGAGATATGTCTTTATGTTCTTTATGTAAAGTAAAATGTCTTGGGCGGTGGTAAGACATGCAATCAATTGTACAAGTTTCTGATAGTGCACTTTTGAAGTATTGACTATTTTTATAGTTACGCTAATAAGTTTTAGAAGAAGTCATCATTCCCCTAATGTGGAGATACCGTATTCATGTTAGATTGACGTAGATGGAAGTTAGTGCTGGCATCTGAAAAAGACTAGAAACGCTCAGTTGCCTGAAATCCTTTGGGAACAGCTTCTCAGGTCATTCATCTGCTGCAACTCTAAAGTGAGAATGTGGACCCAGTCTCGGCTCTGAGCACTTGGTTGCGTCCTCAGTCACTAATTTCTTGTATAGTCAAGCTACACTGAATCTCAAGCAGACTACTCAATGTGCTCCCAGAGAATTAAATCTCAAGTGTGAACTCTGTGTTGTACTAAGGTGACTCTACAGCAAACAGGGTTAAAATATGTCATCACCACCCCCCACAGCTGCCGGTCTCTTTGATCAACTCTTAAACCTCTGACACACTTGGAACCTTTATACTGAGAAGAATGAAATGCTCAGTGACCAAAAAACATAGAGCGTATTTGCTGAAAATAGTAGCTGTCAAGAATTGTGTACTGTTGGAGAGTTGATCACTCATAAACTTATTCTCAGAATTAAATAAACCACAGAAGAGCCCTGCTGGTTTTGGCACAGGAGGGAAACTGTGTTCTGCTGTGCTCATAACCTTTGACAGTTATGCTCAGGATGTTTTTAATATTGCATGTGTTTAACATCAGCTGGGAATTTTCTTTATGTCAAAGAAAAAACCTGGTAAGTAGCTGTCTTTGCTTCTGGAGTACAATGGGGTGAATATACAGCAGACACCTGTTTGCTGCCATAAACCCACTTGCTCTATACCTGTGCCTTCTCTGCTGCTTTAGGGATTTGTCTCTGTTGCTTCCACAAAGAGGACTTTGATGGGCTTACAGACATGAAGCAGGACCTAAAGAATTCAAGGAATCAAGCTGAGGAAAAAAACCCCAAGTCAATCAATTTCAAAATAACTTCACAAAAAAAAAGTGGAGTATGGCATATAAATAAAATAAAAGAACTCTGTATGTTATACAGTTTTTATAAACTTAATGGAAAGGAGATTTTGGATTTAGATTCTTGTAGCTTTACATAGGCAAGATTGCTAAATTGCCTAGCCTTCAGTTTTTAAAAGCTGCAAATAACTGAGAGATTTGGAGTACCTCAGGGATGTAGCCTCAACATGAAGGTATGAATGCTAGAGGAATCTTGCTCTAGAGATTCTAGAGTGGTCTCTTTCTTTTATTATCTATTAACTAGGCTAAAAAAACATGGTGGCAGTCTCCTTATCACTCTGCTGCTTGAGAGACTACGTCTACCTTCTGTTGCATTTTGTTGTCCCCTCCCTCCACTCTGATCTTTCTTTCTAGTTATATATGTGAAGTTATATATGTTTGTTTCATTTTTGGGTTTAATTACAATTGCTTACGTTTGCTCATTTTTCTTTGAGTCTTCTTCCCTGGCATCTCCTTAGGACTTAGGATAAAAACCTTAACTTACAAGACACCCTACAAAAATACTGTAGTGTTGTACTTCCACCAATGTTCTGCACATATAGATAGCCTGCTTGGCTTTCCTGTCAAGTCTTGCTATTATGTCCTTGTACAGATCTAAACTAATTGAGATTTGTTCTGTGATTTAAGCTCTTAGATACTGTTATTTCTACACCTTTTATTTGTGAAGTGTTTGACTCTGTGGACAGATGGCCTTTTCTGTGTGTCTGCTGTCTTTGTGAGGCAGAAGATAATGATGAAACACTTTAAAAAAGCGTTTCTAAAGTCATGTTTTGTTTTCTGTTTCTGTCAATTTCTCCATCATTCTTCCCAAGTGCAACATGGTGAAACATTTGCATGTGTGATCTGTCTTTTCTCTGGAAGAGAATTTGAGGACAGGGGATGTCTCTCACAGGAGAGTACTGGATTGTCATATGAAAACAAAGATTCTCTGCCTCTGCTTAACAGAACTGATGTGCTGCACAGTCAATTCCTGTGTCTGTTTCTATTTTATCAAATTTCACCCACATACTTGGGTAGATAAATTTGAATAATTTTTAGGTACTTCTGACAGTTTCATTTTTCAGATGTAAATCATACAGGATACATGAAACAGGTAGATGAAATATATATTTTTGTGAAGATTCGATTTGATTATTTTTCTGTCTCTGATTTGAAAGTATTTTGAATACTGTTTAAATGTCAGCATTTTACTTCCAGTTCTTTTCTACTGTTGTATGAACACTGGACAGAAATGTTGTCTTGATAATGTTTGTTGTTTTTTTTTTTTAAGCAGCACTTTGGTGATTTTGAGGAAAAATATGAACCCAGTCATTCTCAGTGCTCTTCAGAGAGTTTGTTCTTGATTTCTGTTTTCCTTTTGTCCTGTTTAAACTTCAATTTCTTTTGTAGTTTATGACTTCATGAACAAACCATTTACCTGAAGTCACTAAAAACCTCAGCATCCAAACATATATTCCAAAATTGTTTTAAAATCCTCATGGTTACATAGAAAGCATTAGTACCTATGCATGAATGAAAGAATGCTGTGTCCCCAGATCTGAAGATGGCAGAAGCAATCCAAAAATGGAAGATTTAAATAGTGTCTGTTACCTATTTCATTGCAAATACAGTTACAAATAAGAGCAATATCTTATTGTCATAACAAACTAAATAATATAAAAGTCATGGTACCATGCTATTCAACAAAGTATTAATTTTGAAGTCTATTAAAATTGTCTGCAGAGACTACCCAAAGAACTTTCGGCCTGTTGGCCTAATGCCCAAAAGAAACCTTGAATCTCTCAAAATAGTTTAGCTCATCTTCATGACTGGTTCAGGGAACCTTCATGAGAAGAACAAAACTAGCAGCCAAGCCCAGAGCAAAGCACTTCACCAATGTCTGCTGCAGTGAACCTGTTTGACTGAATTAGTTTTGAATTGGCAGATAAATAACTATATATGGCAAAATAAAAGCAAAATATTATTTATTAATGAACATTATTTGAGTAGTTGTAACATGGTGTGTAGTATTTTCAGCAAGAATCCTTAGAAAATCCCTGAAATATTCTCTTCTGTACTGACAGTCTCATGGTGTTAATGTAACTAATGCTCCTACATATTGTTCTTAAAATTTTTAGCAACTAAACTATATATATAATAGTCTCTCTGCAGACATGCTTAACAGTAGATACATGATATACTATGTTATATATGTGTATATATACACACATACACTGTAGAATATACAGGAGGGACTGGAGGATGACCGGAGCACAGCAGATTCTGTTGAGTTCAATGGAACTGAACTGACACTGGACTACACCAGCCTTCTGGAGTCTGCAGACGAAAACCTGTGCCCAGAGAGGCTTTTGTTTTGGTGTGTGGAAGGTGTCAGTGATAGCTCCATTCAGTAGGTAAGTAAGTGAGAATGATAACTACGCAATGTTGAGGTGATGCTACTGATGCTGCCTCAGCAGAAGCTGTGTCTCCTGGGGGTTGGAGATGACCAGAACTCTTACATGCACTGGCAAATTGTGCTGATGATATAAAATCTTTCCCCGTTTTGACATATACTCTGGAAATAGATGATTGATCGATTGAGAACAGGAATATTGGGTTTGAAAAGATTATAACCAACTAAGCTATATTAAGTAATCTAAAATGTCGAACTGGCTGTGAACAACTGAGCGGTGTGATGTGAAGAAGATTAAGAAAAATGCCAAAGATAGGAGAACAAACACTGAAAAAAACTTCTAATAGAAAAAGAGGCCCTTTGCAGATTGCTTTTGCCAATAGATGTCACTGTAAATAAGGCAATGGTCACCTTCACACTGACAGAAGTCTGAATAAGACCCACATGTCCTGAAGGCTCAGCCTGTGAAAGAAGAGTACACAACATAACTCACGTATTAAGGATGTGTTATTGATTGTGATTTACTCCCTTTCCAAAAAGTGATACAAGAATTGTGAAAAAAAAAAAAAATTACTTTCTGATGCATAACAAAAGACATTCAGTACAATTCAGATTTAAAAGTTCATATTTAGACAACTGTGCATTTAAATGCTCCCCTGCTTTCCATAAGCAATTGCCCCTCATATAGTTTCACACATGCCTAAAAGCCACATGCCAGAAACAACCATTATAGGAGCAAGGTAAGTTTTTCTGTGTTTTC